GACCTCCCTGGCCTGAGGGCCCTGTGCTGGGCTTTGCAGGCCTGGAACCTGGTTGGGAGCCTCCTGATGAACATCTCATCCCGGGAGACCTGCCGCTTCTGCATGCGTGGGTGTGTTGGGAAGGCTGGCTCAGGAGCCTTCCGTCTTGGCGTGCCCAACCCCTGCAGAGCCATGGGCTGGCTAGGGCGACACTGCTTTTACTGGGTCTGAGGCCAGAGGCCGGGCCGGGCCTGGCGCTTCCCAGACTCCTGCCTGTCGGGTGTGGTGAGCGTCAGGGCCAGACTCCTTAGAGCATTTCTCGGGGTCCGCTTCCTGGTCCTCAGGGGACTGACTGCACTTGGAATGCCCAGGTGGTGCTTCTCACATAGTGCTCAGTGCCCTCACCGTCATGACTCCGGGGTGGGGCAGAGCCAGAGGAGTGAGCCCCTGGGATGGTCCTGAACTTCCAGGCAGCCAGGGCAGAAAGAGGTTAGGCAGATGTAGCATTTTCCACAGGGCTGAGAGCCGTAGAGCCTGCTCCAAGCCAAAGTCTGCACAGGCACTCAGGTGTGGGAGCTGCTCAGCAAGGACGGTAGGGCCTGCAGACCTCCCCGAAGTCCCCCCTCCCGCACAGCTTCCAGGAGCGGCTCCAGCTGTGCGAGGTTTCTGGTGCTAGCTTGCTACCAGCCTCGGGTTGCCCAGGTGTTCTGCCTCCCCCCTCCTATCTGGAAGCAGGACAGTGTCTGCCCAAGGACAAGGACAGTTTGTGCTGCTGAGCTTGCTCTGCAGGGACTCTGGTTTGGGAGTGTGTGGGGACCCAGGGCTCTAAATATAACAGGGTGAGGTCACTGGGGTGGAGACAGGCCATGTGGCAAGCTCAGGACCCCATTGGGGCTGGAAACCCAGGGCTGGGGACAAGGAGTGGGTGGCCTGGCCTCGCTGTCCCTGTGGTACTGGCCTCCTCGCTATGTGGTCTCCTCTTGCGCCAAATCCCTGTCCGTGACATGTCAAAGGTATGTGAAGGATGGAATGTGTCTCTTCTCAGACCCCTTCCTTCAGTGCAGCTTGGAGTAGGTTTTTGGGGCCATCTAGGTGTGTGTGTTCTCAGGCACAGCCCTGAATGAGAACATTGCGAGGGGAGGCCTTGTTGCCAAGGTGTGGATTGGGCCCCCTGACAGAGGGGCAGCTTTGTGAGGGCTCTGTCGGGCAGAGTGAGGGCCACCTTGGTGCTCTGTGGTCACCGCAGTTTACACTCAAAAGAGACACAGAGAACCTGGGGTGGCGGGTGGAGGTGACAGCTGCCTTCAGCTGGAAATAAGGCAGAGAAGCTGGGAATACACGTGGCCAGCAGAGTCCCAGCCCCCAAGAATGTCTACATCCTAGTCCCCGGAACCTGCGCGTGTGGTACCTTACATTAGCAAAAGGACGATGCACGTGTGACTAAGGGTGCAGACCTGGATTGTGCAGGTGGGCCCAACCTCATCAAATCATTAGAAGTGGACACCCTTTCCTGGCCGGGTCAGAGAGGTGCAGTGTGAGGACTCGGCCCTGCTGCTGGCTTGGGAGGTGAACTGAGGTGCCATGAGCTGGGGAATGCAGCATCCTCCAAAAAGCTGGAAATGGCCTTCAGATGACAGCCAAGCCAGCAAGAAAAGGGGGCCCTCAGTACAGCAAGGAGGAGTAATTCTGTCAACACCTGAAGGAATAGGAAAGTGCCCTCAAGAGCTTCCCGAAAGGAGGGCAGTGTGCCTACACCTGGATCTCAGCCCAGGGGGACCCGAACCACACTTCTGCCCTCCGGAACCTGACATGATATATACATGCATGGTGTTTAAGCCACTCAGTTTGTGATCCTGTGTGATCATTTTGGCAGCAGAGGAAATCAGTACACATTAGTACAAGGATGTGGGAAACGGGCTTCCCCACCTTCCTCTCCTACAGTGGGCATGGAATGGGAGCAGCCTCCCTGGCGGCTGATTACAGTCATTCATGGCCTTGGTGCCAACAGCCCCTCTAGCAGCTTGTGTGTTAGCCCAGAACTACCTCTAGTAAAGGTGGAGGTTGCAGCCTTGTTTGTAACAGTAAGTGGAAAAGGAGGGACACAGCACTGCTCAAGTGGGGCCTCCCTCCCCCCACCCCAACTGGAAGGAAGAGCAAAGGGAGGAGGTCTGTGATGTTGGATGTTTCTGAGGTTAGTGAGAAAAAGTAAGGCATAGAATCATGTTTTGCTTTTTTTTTTTTAAATGCGTGATAAGTATGTACACAAGCTTTTATACGCAAGGAATATTTTTGGAAAAGATACAGGGAAGCACTTGCAGTGGCTGGGTGGGAGATGTACCTTCCCTTGTGCCCTTTCGCGTGCCTGCAGAACTCAGTTCTAGTGTGTGTGGGCGTGTGATGTGCTCACTGTGTGATCTTGGGGGGTGAGGGGGCCTTCCTCAGGGCGCGGGCTCCCGTCTCGCCAGCCCACGGAAACCTGCATCTGCTGGGGGTTGTTGAGCCGCAGGAGCTCTTTATCTCTTCTGGAGCTGAGCCCTTCACTGGGCATGCTTTGTCAGCACGTGCTCTGGGCTGAGGTTTGCTTTTTGTAGTAAGCAGAAGTTCTTAATCTTCATGAAGCCTCGTTTGTCAGTATTTTTTCTTGGGCGGTTACTGCTTTGGGGATCCTGAGAAATCTTTGTCTACCCCAAGGTTGCAGAGATATTCTCCTATGTCTTCTAAAAGACTTTGAGTTTTTGCTTTCATATTTAGGTCTGTGATTGATTTTAGGAATGAATATAGATAGATAGATTTTTTTTTTTTTTTAAAGTAAGCTCTACGCCCAGCGTGGGGCTCAAGCTCATGACCCCGAGACTGAGAGTCACATGCTCTACTGACTGAGCCAGCCAGGGGCCAAGTCTGTGACTGATTTTAAATTAATTTTTGAGTATGCTCTGATGTTTGGTGTAAATGGAATCATGCAGTCTGTGTTTTCTGTGACTCCACTCCCTGTGGTCTGAGCTTCTTCACTTCCCGTGGTCTGAGCTGCTGCTTGTTGGTGCACTGAGGCTACAGTTGGCTCATTTCTGTTACTCTTGAATTTTTCGTTCTGCTCCTTTGACTCTTGGAAGACACTGGTGTCCCTGTAACATTGGACTACATGACCTGCACCTTGTGTGCCGTCTCCTTTCTGTAAAATGTGATAATAGCACCTTCCCCATGGAGTCGTCGTGATGGCACAGAGTAGTGCCGCATGGAAACACATGGTATGAGAGCAGGGCCTGGCTCACAGCGAGCAGAGGACAAGGGATGGAGTGGCTTGGTCAGCAGGTGTGCACACGTGAGACTGCCAAACAAAGGCCGTCGCTTCCGAGACTTGGCTGGGCCCAGAACTCCCTGGTCGTGTCAGATGCCAGTTCTGCTGGTTGGTGGGCATGTCCGCAGGGTAGCCGCTCCTGGCTTCCGTCTGCATTCCCTGATGCCTGCGAGAGCTGAGCACAGGTGCTGCCGTCTCCTCTTTCACCCGCTGCCTCTTCTTGTCTGCTGGCCCAGGGTTTCTGTGTTCCGGACACATACGGATCCTCGGGGCCTTGTGGCATCTGTCTTCTCCCACATTGTCACTTTTTGGTGTCTTGGGATGAACTCTAAAGGTCTTGTTAATGTAGCCAAATTGATTGGATTACTGTGTGCAAGCATCCCTCGGAGATCCTGCGGGGTGGGTTCCAGACCACCAAGCGACTGTCACGATACACCGAGGCAAATGAAGTTTTTGGTTTCCCGGTGCACGTAAGAGTGGTGTTTACACTATACTGTAGTCTGTTAAGTGTACAATAGTATTATATCTAAAAAAACAATGTATATACCTTAATTAAAAATACTTTATTATTAGGGCACGTGGGTGATGATGTAGTTAACGTCCGACTCTTGATTCCGGCCCAGGTCATGCTCTCAGGATCGTGAGCCAGAGCCCGCGTTGGGCTTCACCTGGGCGTGGAGCCTGCTTAAGATCCTCTCTCTCCCTCCCCCTCCCCTGCTCTCTAAAACAAACAAACAACAACAACAAAAACCCAAAGATTTCATTACTAAAAAAATGCTAACCATTATCTCATTTTTCAGCAAATCCTAATCTTTTGCTGATGAACGTCCTGCCTCCCTGGTGCAGGCTGCTGACCGGTCAGGGTGGTGGCCACTGATGGCTGGGGGGGCTGTGGCAGTTTCTTAAGACAACAGTGAAGTTTGCTGTATCGATTGGCTGTTCCTTTCATGAACAGTTTCTCTGTATGTAGCACACAGTGCTGTTTGATAGCATTTGACACACAGTAGGACTTCTTTCAAAATTGGAATCAGTCCTCTCAAATGCTGCCACTGCTTTGTCAGCTCATCTTCTGTAATATTCTAAACCTTTGTGGTCATTTCAACAATCTTCAGAGCATCTTCACCAGGAGTAGATTCTAGCTCAAGAAACCATGCTCTTTCCTCATCCATTAGAAGCAGCTCCTCATCCGTTCAAGTTTTAGCATGAGATTGGAGCAAGTCAGTCCCATCCTCAGGCTCCACTTCTGATTCCAGCTCTCTTGCTGTTTCCGTCACACCTGTGGTTACTTCCTCCACAGAAGTCTTGAACCCTCAAAGTCATCCATGAGGGTTGGAATCCACTTCTTCCAAAATCCTGTTCATGTTGATATTTTGATCTCTTCCCATGAGTCACAGATGTTCTTAATGGCGTCTAGAATGGTAAACCCTTTCCAGAAGGTTTTCAATTTACTTTGCCCAGATGCATCAGAGGAATCACTGTCTATGGCAGCTGTAGCCTTACAAAATGTACTTCTGAAAGAATAGGACTTGAAAGTTGGTCCATGGGGGGGGCGCCTGGGTGGCTCAGATGGTTAAGCGTCTGCCTTCGGCTCAGGTCATGATCCCAGGGTCCTGGGATCGAGTCCCGCATCGGGCTTCCTGCTAGGCAGGGAGCCTGCTTCTCCCTCTGCCTCTGCCTCTCTCTCTGTCTCTCTGACTCTCATGAATAAATAAATATTAAAAAAAAAAAGAAAGAAAGTTGGTCCATGGGCTGCAGAATGGATGTGGTGTCAGCAGGCATGCAAACAACGTTCATCTCACTGCACGTCACCATCAGAGCTCTTGGGTGACCATGTGCATTGTCAACGAGCAGTAAGACTTTGAAAGGAATCTTTTTTCCTGAGCAGTAAGTCTCAACAGTAGGCTTAAAATAGTCTGTAAACCATGTTGCAAACTGATGTGCTGTCATCAGGCTTTGTTGTTCCATTTCTAGAGCACAGGCAGAGTCGATTTAGCATAATTCTTAAGGGCCCTAGGATTTTCCAAATGGTAAATGAGCATCGGCTTCAACTTAGTCACCAGCTGCATTTAGCCCGCAACAGGAGTCAGCCAGTCCTTTGAAGCTTTGAAGCCAGGCATTGACTTCTCTCTATGAAAGTCCTGGATGGCATCTTTTTCCAATAGAAGGCCTACATTGAAAATCTGTTGTGTAGCCATCTTCATGAATTATCTCAGCTACATCTTCTGGATCCCTTGTTGTGGCTTCTACATCAGCACCTGCTGCTTCACCTTGCACTTTTAGGTTATGAAGTTGGCTTCTTTCCTTAAACCTCATGAGCCAACCTCAGCCGGCTTCAGACTTGCCTTCTGCAGCTTCCCCACTTCTCTAAGCCTTCACAGAATTGAAGAGAGTTAGGGCCTTGCTCTGGACTAGGCTTTGGCTTAAAGGAGTATGGTGGTTTGATCTAGCAAGACCACTCAGACTTAGTCCACATCAGCAGTAAGGCGGGTTCGCTTTCTTATCACCCGTGTTTGTTCACTGGACTAGCACTTTAATTTCCTTCAAGAACTTTCTTTGCCTTCACAGCTTCGCTAAGTGTTCGGCACAAGAGGCGTAGCTTTCAGCCTATCTTGGTTTTGGGCATGCCTTCCTAAATGTAAGTCATTTATAGCTTTTGATATAAAGTGAGAGGTGTGTGACTCTTCCTTTTACTTGAGCACGTAGAGGCCATTGTAGGGTTCTCATTTGGCCTAATTTCAACACTGTTGTGTCTCAGGGAACAGGGAGGCCCAAGGAGAGGGGAGAGGGCAGTGGCTGGGCAGTGGACACACGCAGCACTGATGAAGTTCGCCGGCTTACATGGGCGGTTTGTGGCGCCCCAAAGCGGTCACGTAGTAACGTTAGGAATCGCTAATCACAGATCACCACAACACATAAAATAGTTAAAAAATCTGAAATATTATGAGAATTACCAAAATGTGACACAGAGACACAGCACTGCTCAATGCTGTTGGAAAATGGCACCAATAGACTTGCTTATTAGTGCAGGGCTGCCACAGTTCAATTCGTAAAAAACACAGTATCTGTGAAGTGTAGTAAAGCTAAGAACACAAAAGGAGGTATGCCTTTATTTATCTTTTAAGCTCGGTGTGTTTTATTTGATAAATCCTTCAGCACCCCGCCCCCCATGAGATGGTAGAGTAGAATACCTCTCCCGGATCAGGAGCAGAGCTTATTTCATGAACGTCATGGGTTTCAGCCATGTGACAGCCACTTGGGCAGGTGGGCATGGCCATGGACGGGCTCGTGGTCAACTGCACCCCATGCACTAGAGGAGGCGGACGGGAGGGTGAGCACTGGGTACCTTGCTGGCCTCAGGAGCAGGTAGGAGATGGCATGGGGTGAGAACTTTGATGTTGCCGACTCCACTGGCTCTTGGGAGGGAGAGGCCCAGAGTGGGCTGGAACAGGGAGAAGGGCAGAGGTCTGACAAGTGGCTCGTTTTGCAGATCCGGAACATGGTGGCGGTGCTGGAAGTCATCTCCAGCCTGGAGAAATACCCCATTACCAAAGAGGCACTGGAGGTGAGTGTCCCCAGGACCCAACTTCGGGAAGAGAAGGGTGGGCAGGGCCTGGGCTTCCCCAACCCGAGTCCTTCCTGGCTTCTTGGAGCCTTTGCTCTCACTGGCCAGGTAAGGACTTAGTAGTGCTGAGTGAGCGGTGTACATACCCTCCTGGCCTAGGCTGTGCCGAAAGCAACATCTTCCTATGGTCACTGCAGGAATTGGGTAGCTCTAGTCCCAGGGCTGGGAGGCCTGCCTGGGGGGAGGGGGGAGAGGCTCCAGTGAGGGATGCGGGCTCAGGCCTTCCGTTTGCTCTTGCCTTTGCCGTAGTGTGCTTTCACCCAAAGAGCTTCCCTGGCACAGTGTCTCTGCACTGGCCTGACGGTCCACAGCCTCTAGGTGCCAGGAGCCTGCGGGACGGTGCTTCTGAAGATGCCGCCCGTGGCCCTGGGACCCTGAAGTTCGAGGACTAGATTTGAGAAGTTAGATGTCACAAAGGACCCCAAATCCCCATGGGTTTTGTTACCCAGGAACTCCGTGGTTTAAAGGGGCAGTGGGATTAATCCAAAGACCAGGGGTTCTCAGCTCCCTTTTCATGGGGGACTTGCTGTCCCAAAAGCACGTCATCATCTCTCTCTGGTTGTAGGAAACTCGACTTGGGAAGCTCATCAACGACGTCCGCAAGAAAACGAAGAACGAGGAGCTCGCCAAGCGGGCCAAGAAGCTGCTGCGCAGCTGGCAGAAGCTCATCGAGCCCGTGCACCAGAATGAGGCGGCGCTGCGAGGGCTGGCGGGCAGCACCGGCTCTGCCAACGGGGGCGCTCACAACTGCCGGCCGGAGGGGGGAGCGGCCGGCGCGCCCAAGAGCATCCATGAGCTGAAGAACCGCAATGACATCCAGAGGCTGCCTGGACAGCGGCTGGACAGGCTGGGTAGCCGCAAGCGCCGGGGAGATCAGCGTGACCTCGGCCACCCTGGGCCACCTCCCAAGGTCTCCAAAGCCAGCCATGACTCCCTGGTACCCAACTCATCCCCCCTCCCCACCAACGGGATCGGCGGGAGCCCCGAGAGCTTCCCTGGCGCCCTGGACGGCAGCGGGCACGTGGGCCCCGAGGGCAGCCGCCTGGAGCACGGCGACAGCGACAAGCACAGCGGCAAGATTCCCGTGAATGCTGTGCGGCCGCACACCAGCTCCCCGGGCCTGGGCAAGCCCCCGGGCCCCTGCTTGCAGACAAAGGCTGCGGTGCTACAGCAGCTGGACCGGGTGGACGAGACTCCGGGGCCCCCCCACCCCAAGGGGCCGCCTCGCTGCTCTCTCAGTCCCCGGAACTCACGGCACGAGGGCTCCTTTGCCCGGCAGCGGAGCCCGTACACCCCCAAGGGCTCCCTGGCCAGCCCCTCTCCACGGCCCCAGGCGCTTGAGGCCACGCAGGTGCCATCGCCGCTTCCCCCGGCTCGGCCGTCCACACCACCCGTCAGGCGGCTCGAGCTGCTGCCCAGTGCCGAGAGCCCGGTGCGCTGGCTGGAGCAGCCTGAGGGCCACCAGCGGCTGGCAGGGCAGGGCTGCAAGGGGGGGCTGCCCCCGGCCGAGCCCCTCCTTCCCCGGGCGGGCTTTTCCCCGGACTCCTCCAAGGCGGACAGCGACGCCGCCTCGTCTGGTGGCTCGGACAGCAAAAAGAAGAAGAGGTACCGGCCTCGTGACTACACGGTGAACTTGGATGGGCAGGTGGCGGAGGCGGGTGTCAAGCCCGTCCGGTTAAAAGAGCGGAAGCTCACCTTTGACCCCATGACCAGACAGATCAAACCTCTGACCCAGAAAGAGCCAGTGCGGGCTGATAGCCCCGTGCACACAGAGCAGCCCAGGACAGAGCTGGACAAGCCCGAGGCCAAGGCCAGCGTGCAGAGCCCTTTTGAACAGACGAACTGGAAGGAGCTGTCGCGCAACGAGATCATCCAGTCCTACCTGAGCCGGCAGAGCAGCCTGCTCTCGTCGTCAGGCGCCCAGACCCCAGGGGCTCACCACTTCATGTCTGAGTACCTGAAGCAGGAGGAGAGCACCCGGCGCGGGGCCCGGAAGCCGCACGTGCTGGTGCCTCACAGCGCGCCCTCGGACCTCCCGGGGCTGAACCGCGAGGTCACGCAGGACGACCTGGACAGAATCCAGGCCCACCAGTGGCCAGGGGTGAACGGGTGTCAGGACACACAGGGTAACTGGTATGACTGGACGCAGTGCATATCGCTCGACCCGCATGGGGACGACGGGCGGTTGAACATTCTGCCTTATGTCTGCTTGGACTGAGCAGCCTGTCGGCCTCTAAGTGCATTCCCACCTTGCAGTTGGCATGGCAGGCGGGCAGCCTCCGGCGGTTGGGAATCCGGGGAGCCCGGCCCGGCCCGGGAGGGAGGGGGCGGGAGTCTCGAGGCCTCTCCGTGCTCTTCCCTCAAAATTCTCCTTCTTTTGTGAAATGCTGCTACCAGTTTACTAACAAAATTGCAAAGGAAGGACCGTGTGGAAGGAAGGCCGGCACAGTGAGTTCAGAACTCTATAGCAAACCAGCTATAAAAAGCGTTAGTTCCCCACCCCGGAAGAGGTGCGGACATTTCCCAGCACCCGTGAGCTGGGACCTCAGTGGCAGGCAGGCACAGACAACCTGGGGGAGAGGTTACCTTTAAACAGCAACAGAAGCACGCAGTTCATCTCTCTGCATTTTCCTTGTTTAAATTTGGCCCTGAGTGTCTGAGGCAGGGGCTGTGCCCACACTGCGGCCTCTGCGCGCACCCCGGCTGGCCAGCCAGTACGCCCTGCGCTCCGTGGGCATCCACACGTTCTCATCTGGTTTCGGTTAAAACCCAGTTTTGAAAAAAATGCTGCAAAAATCTAAGTTTTCTAGTTTATTTTATCCCCCTCTTCCATTGACTACCAGCCAAATAATTTTCCTTTCTCCCTTTTCAAAGTTTCCCCCTCTCCTTCCTGCGCATATCTTGAAAATCTCACCTTTCTAGAGTCCCCTCCCAAAAAAACACAAAAGTAACCGCGGGTGCTACTGGTGTGTAAGCTGTATTGTTGGGCAAGAGGAGACCTGTCTGTACGCTGGAAACACTCATAACCATTCCTTTAGATTCGTTTGCCTTATGGTTATTTGTCATAAACGCGATCTGCAAAAACAAGGAGCCTTAGTGAATGTACAGTACCTAGACTTCTGTGTTCTCAAGACGCAGAAGGGAGCAACTTTGCTATTTGGTCCAGTAAGTGGACACCTTGTGATATAAATGTGGAAATAAAAAAAAAAAAAAAACCATTTGCACAAACCAGTCTCAGAATCGTTACTAATTTGGTCCCTTACAGTCATAATCAGCCTTTCGTGTCTGAGGTTTGGGCTCCATTGCCGGTCTGCAGGGAGGTGGGCAGGGCAAAGTGGCCAAGCCAGCCTATTAGTGTTCTGCATGAAAACTGACCTCCACCTGCCTTTCACTCATTCAGGGCCATGTTGCCTCTTCCACCTCCGGGGTCACCTACTAGCTTTGGGTGACAGAGACTGAAGGTCCACATGAAGGAACGTTACCCCATCTGCCCCAGAGAAAGAAGCCCTCCAAGGGGGTTCCATGTCCCAAGTCTTGGTAACCTGGTTTTACCCCACAAAGTATCTAGCTTTTACAGGGCATGGCCCAGAGCCACGCCTGGCACTGCACCCCTTGGCTCTGGCCCCAGGCTGCTAGCTCCCCATGCAGGCCTGGGGCTGTCTCAGTATCTGATAGGTGCTGTTTTTAAAAAATAACTTTCTGCCTTGACTATAAAAGTGATAATACTTCCTTCTCCCTCACCCCTGAAACCGTCAGCGAAGACTATGGTTTTCAAAATTTTTCAGTCCAGAATAGGTCATGTTGGATGTACCTACTTCATTTCACAGATGAGGAAGCAGCTACCCCTTAAGAGGGACAGTACTAGGACACCTGGGTGGCTCAGTTGGTTAAGCGTCTGCCTTCAGCTCAGGTCACCATCCCAGGGTCCTGGGATCGAGTCCCGCATCTGCTTCTCCCTCTGCCTGGCACACCCTCTGCTTGTGTGCTCTCGCGCTCGCTCGCTCGCTCTCTGACAAATATAATAAAATCTTAAAAAAAAAAAAAAAAAGAGGGACAGTCCCATAGGGCGAACCAGGGGGTCCAGAACCATTGAGTCAGCCCAGAACCACAATTTCAGAAGCAGCAGGGATTTCTGACGTGGTGTTCGTGCAAGACACACCCACCCTAAGATAAGGGCAGTGGATGAAGTGGCTTTGAGGACAGGCTGAGGTTGGACTCTGGACCTGCCATCTATGAGCTGTATGGCTCTAAGATAATCACTTCACTCATACACATGTCTCTATCTGGGAGATGAAAGTGCTTACTCCAGAGCTGTGAGGGTAAGTTAAACAGAGCTTAAGCCAAAAAAAAAAAGCGGGGGGGGGAGCATGTCAGTAGAACCCTTTGTGCTATGGAATAACTAATTACTTTCCTAAATCCACTGTGCCTGTAATGTGGGCCAGCCCTGCTGCTGTGTGGGTGTCCCCAGGAAGTGACTTACTCTGTGACAAAGGGTCGTAAGCACAGCTGGAATATACTAGGATACAGGTTGGCATCTTATGAGCATCTCTTTTTCTCAGACCCGGACTTTAGGACAGGTCCCTGCTCCCTGCCCCCACCTGAAGGACCACTTCTGCGTCTAAGTATCCAGTAAGCCCCAGCATAAAGATACTGCCTGCTTTTGAGAACACAAAATTAAGATTTCCCTCCCACATTTTTGAAATCAGTGGGTTGCCACTTTCTAATTTGCCAAGTAAAGACATTGTAAAAGGGCATCTTAACCCCCACCCCTTCCCCCCAGAAGTTGTCCGTACATGATTTTTGGAACAAATCAAAGTCCTTTAGTATAAAACCATCTCGCTGAAAACACCATCTTGTCTTCCTCCGCTGGGGTCTGGGGCTGCTCTATCCTGGCCTTGGGCATCAGCAGTCAGGGCCCGGCAACCTCTCCCGCCTGCAAGAGCCCTGGAGACAGGTGCGGGAGTAGGCTACCATGGCCACGGCTCCCGAATTGGCCAGGGGACCTAAGTCAAGTCGCCTCCCTTCTCTGGGCTTCGGTCTGTCCGTCTGTGAAATGGAGATGGTCATACACCTACCGCACAGTACACGTCGCAGTGGTTCCCAGAACAAGCCCCCAGAGACCGGGCGCTCCGGGCTAGCCCTTCTGTTGGAGTCCGGCCATGGAAGTCCCTTCCGTGTTTTTGCAGAAAAAATTTAGCCTATGGAAAGCTCTTCACAATTTGGTTTCTTTTCCGAAAAGGTCTGGTCTTTTATCCTTGGTGTCCGCCGTCGCCCGCCCATCGGGAGTATGGTTGGAGAACGCCGATGTAGCGTGGGAATCGAGGTCTGACTCCCGAGCTCGATGGCCCGCTCACACACGCCGACGAGACAGGGCCTTTGCACTTCTGCCCACTCAGCTCGAGCCGCGGCTCCAGGGTCCTCCAGGCCAACCCTCCGCCGGGGAAACCCCGCTAGGCAAGTCTTCGCTTCCCCACCTTCCGCTTCCGCGATAGGCACCGCCCCGGCCGGAAATCCACCAGAGGGGCGGGGCCTGCGCCCGCTACGTGGTGGCGAGCGCGTCGGCCGGCGCGAGGCGGTGACGCGAGGCAGCAGTGACCAATGGGGAGCGGCGTTGGCCAGCGTGCCCGCCCCTACTCGGCCCCGCCCCCGCCCGGCGTCGGGCCGTCGGACGGGCGGGAAGAGGTGGCCGCTCGGGCAGG